AAATAAGAAGGCTGTCTATTAGTCATATGGGGCCTACAGTTTAACGCCGGGATCCGAACGGCGCTGGTGATCAAAGATCTCTTAGGAGCTGCGCAATGAAAGGATCAATAGGGAACTCAACAGAGCGATTCTTTGGTTTATTTCAAGTAAAAAAGTCCATATAAACATGTGTCCTAAACGGCTTAGTTTCCGAAATACAGGTGAATGTTCGCAAATGTTTGACGAAACGGTAAATTGCGTTGGAGATATCTTCCTGTATAAATATGCCTTATTTCACATGAGTTATCATTCGCACAACCGTAAACAAAGTCAAAGTCAAAGCATCCTAGATCACCAGACTTAAATCCTTTGAATTATTTCCTTTGGGGGCCATTTGAAATCATTGGTTTGTACCACCCCAATTGAGAATGAGAATGATTTGAGGAATCGAATAGTTGCTTCATGCGAGGCAATACGTAACACATCTGGTATCTTTGAGCGTCAATCTTTAAGAAGAAGGCTCGATGGATGTATCATGGCGCAAGGTGGACATTTTCAACAATTCATCTAATTGTTTTATTTCATCAGAAGAACTGTGAAGCCTGTTTTTGTTTTTCTGTTTTTGACAAGTTTCTGACTATTTCAAGCTGTATTTCTTTCAAATAAACAGATTATTACTACACGTTTAAATTTTTTTATTTCAGAAACTAAACCGTTTAGGACACATGTTTATATGGACTTTTTTACATGAAATAAACGCCAAAGAATCGTTCTATTGAGTATGTATTATAATAATTTATATATTATTATATTGTCAGACATCAATTATGTAAACAATTTTACAACATGTATTTAATAATAATTTGATAAGATATATTGTTTCATAAAAATGCGAATTAAATAAACAAAAAGTAGGTTTTTTTGAAAAACTGATTTAGAACATTCGACGATTAGTATTCGGGGAATCCTTTTGATGTGTAAATAGTACAATGTAGATCAGTATGCAACGAGGATAAACGATTTATTTCGGTGATAAAATAAAAAACCGTCCGCTTCCAAGTTAAACAACGGGGCAGGCATGCGAAAAATAACGGAAGGGCAATTTCTTCGTTCCCGAGTGGACTGTTGCTACTATTACGCGCGTTTCGAGAACGCGTGACACCGCGCGAGCATCGTGCTCTATCAGTCACTCAGTCAATGACAAGTACAGTAAAGTCTGTGCGAATGTTCAGCGCCCGGGCTGTCATTCTCACTTTTTACGGTAGCACATGACGCCGATAAGCACTTAATCCACCATTCCATGTAGCGATATATCACATCTCGAGAAGAGCGACCTGTCGCGACGCAAAGTGTCAATTTTCACAAAATGAGACTCCAATTACAAAATCGTAGACAACAGAAATGTAATTTTATCATGTTATTACGGCACAAATTTCAATTTAAGAAAAAAAGAAACTCCCTAATCTTGATTTTTATATTCGGTCTTTTTTCGGAAAAGCTTTCGACTTCCCCCTCTTCTTTTCAAGATTAGATAAACTGAATGCAAGTAACTGGACATCTATCTCTCAAATAATATATATTCCATTATTTATTAACACTACGATTGCAATAAAATTTGAATTTGATTATTCGATGAATAAAAAGAAACAAAATACTTGTACAATTGAAGGATTTTTTGTTAAGGGTTGTTTTTTTTTAATTTAAACTATTTAAATAAAAATTCCCCCTCTTCTCAATATAATGTTCAACATCGATGAGATAAATATTGACCTAGAATTCATCCAAGCAGAGGAAGTCAATAACCGGTTAAGCAATTCGCCTATTATGCGTGTCAGAATCGCATAATATTTCGCGACTCGCTGGTTCTACTGGTCTTCTTAAACTGAAATGCACTCGCAAGCAGAAGGAACAGAATTGTTGAAATTCTCTTACGACTATAGATCAGTCCCGTAACTTGATTTAACGTTGGCAGCAAGACACCATAATCATAAACCATGACGCGTTTCGTAAAATAAGTTTAAAAGATGAAGCGGCATAATATATCTTAGAAATGTATACGCTTTTCTTACTCGCACAACTAGAAAATCCTTTTCTAGTTGTTTTTAAGCCAAATATTATTAATACCTTATTTTTTCAATCGCTCTTCTTAATAAGGCGTTGTAGATACTCACATCTCGAACGGAGTTCTGTAAAAAAAATTCATAATTATAAGTCATAAGTCCATTCACACTGCTCGAAATCCCTAAAAATTTTTGCACTTGAAACGAGATAAATATACATTCGAATGTTAAAAAGAGAGAGAGAAAGAAAGAGCGCAAAGAGGCTGAGAGTGCAAAGAATGCAAACAACGCAATATATAACAAACTTAATATATTACTTCGGAATAAAATTACATCTATGATAAACGTTTGTATTTTTTCAATGCACAAATTTATGCTGTTACATTCGAAAAGAAAAAGAAAAAAGAAAAAAGAAAGAATTACACTAATGCCGGATATAAAAATAGAGGAGGAAGCTAGATAAAGTTCGATGAAAAGAAATGGAACGTAGAAATCAAAGACCGAGCAAACCCCAAACGAGATCAAGTGCGATTAGGATGGTCGCGTGCGTGTCTTGAAGAGGCTCGACGGAAACTAGGACGTCTGGTCACTGTTGGGTCAGATCCTCGGACCTGGTCCGAAGACAGAAGTCAGCGGTGTTCGTTCGAGGCCGTCGATGGACGAGCGCGCGAGCGGCACGAAGCGAGGCTGGTTGTTAGCCGAGGCACTGAGCATGCATTAACAGTACTCTGGACGGGTCGGTGCGGCGGTGGTTCTCTCTTGGTTCCCCGATTTCTGCCAGCGGCCCCTTCTCGCCGGGAGGATGGTGTACGCCGGCTGGACACATCGGGGGAAAGGAGTCCTCCGCGTGCTCCGGCTTGGTACACGCGTCTTCAGTCCATCGAGGATCTTCGTCAAAATTGCATCCCTTTGCCGGCGGCGCGTCCTCCGGTTCGAAAGAGTGTCTCGAGTGTCTGGTAAACATTTCTCGAGTTAACGAGGGGAAGTGTACAACGTGAGAGAGAGAGAGAGAGAGAGAGAGAAAGAGATAAATAGCTCGACAAAATCATGTGGAGAGTTCTGATCGCTGGATTTTGCACGGTGAGTCTGTGGCCGGTACGGGGTTAATGTCGAAAATATTTTCATTTTATACAGAGACAAAAGATTTTTAACGCTGGTTATAAACTCTCATTTTCTCTTTTTCCATGTTTCAACAAGGAAAACAAATTTAAAGAGTCTGTCAGATAAATTGTTAGATATTTGATTGAAAAGTAAAACGGAGAATTCCCGACTCGTCCTTAGTTACATTTTGTTAGTTTTTACATTATTTATATTTTTTTAATTATTTTGATAAGATACAAAATAAAATAGGAATATAAATTTACATTAAATTTGTATAATGTTTGTTCTTATTATTATTTAAGCA